ACACGTCACACGATGGCATGTGCAACATGTTGTGCATGCACAACATGTACATGTGACGCCCGCCAATGGTCAAACCAAACTAACAAAAATTCTTAGCCGTATATTGCTACGTGAGAGAGAGGATTCTTTATTTGCTATGTGGAGCTCCGGCGCCTCAGATAGGGGGTCTGTTCACCATGACTCGCGCCAAAACGCCCTACCTATCTACCTACTACCACCTATACCTATTCCCAGGCCGCGCAGCGAAGCGAAAAGGGCGAAATTCGGCGTACCTACCTGCAACCTGGGCGTTTTAGGGGTGCGGCGGCGCTGCGCGCCGCTTAGGGGTGCCGCCGGCACCCCTAGCGCGCGCTGCGCGCGCGCGTTTGGGGTGCGGGGAGCACCAAAACAGCCCTTTTCGCCCTTTTTTTGCTCTGCTTTCGAACGCAACCGCCTTTCCTCGCCCCCGATTCCGCTCTCGCTCCCGCTCCGCCAGTCTTGATGGTCCGCGACGCGATCAACGGCGCGCCTTAGCGGTCGCAACGCCCCGAGCGCGCGGCGCGCCGCTGCACCAACCGCCTCTCTCTCTCTCTCCCTCGGCGCAGGCTCGTGCGCTCTCGACAACAGCACCAGCAGCACGGGAGAGGAGTCGGAGGCTGAGGAAGGAGAGGAGGAGGATGGCCACAAATGTGCTACCCGTCGGCCGCGGCGCATCAGCCGCAGTCTATCTCAGTGATAGGCACCAACACCTTCGTCATCGGCGTCATCCTCTCGGTCGTCGCAGACGTGATCATCGCTATCTCGCTTAACGTGCAGAAGACGGCGCACATGCGCAACGAGGGCGCCGACGGCAAGCCAGTCAAGAGCATGCTCAAGTTGCCGCTCTGGTGGCTCGGCCTCCTGCTGAACGTCGGAGGCGAGCTGGGAAACATGCTGGCCTACGGCTTCGCGCCCGCCTCGGTCGTCGCGCCAGTCGGGTCGGTGGGCGTGGTCGCCAACGAGGTGATCGCCGTCGTCTTCCTAAAGGAGCCGTTCCGCTGGCGAGACGCCGCCGGCCTGGTTGCAATCGTCGCGGGCGTGGTGCTCATCATCTTTGGCGTGCCCGAGGACCCTGTCGAGCTCAACGG